TTTGTCCACTAATCCTATAATTGCACACCTTTTTCAAGTTCTATCCATCCTATGAATTATTCTATATATGACATTAATTTGCTTTGCCACTTGACATTTAACTACGATTATAATCACAAACATTTTAGTTTTAATTGCACTTCATATTATTATTATTTCATGCATTCACACCTATGTTTCAATTCCCTCACCGGATATAATTTCTTAAAAAAAAAACCATATATATATATTTCGACTGTACAGCTTGATGATAAATTCGTTGAAAAGAGTCTCTTCGCTGAATCATTTGTTTTGATTTTCTATATGTTACAATGGGAATTTTCCATGATTTAAATGATGTCATCATTCTATTTCACAGGTTCTCATCACCTGAAAACTATCTGAGATTAATTACAGTGGTTATAAATAATGTCAATTACGATAGTTCAATGTTTCAATGGAAGCAGGGAAAATATTATAAAATTAGTGCGTCCGAAATCTAAGCACTTGTAGGTTCACATAGCCACTCAAGAAGGTTATAGCTCACGAGTTTGAAAACTTGCACAGTGAATGATTGGGCTCTCTTTCTGTATGCATAAGTTCGGTTTAAATCGTTTGACAGCAATTGATTCAGCAATTTGACTGCTCCTGTGAAACCAACTACATAGGCCGTAAAATTAGGCGTGTTTATCGTCAAATTTCCGAACATCATCCTGTGTGGTCAAGTAAAGGAAAAACAAAATCCATTCATATCTCTTTTCTATCTCACTTTGTGGATTCCATTATGGATAAGATTTTATTTTGATAAATCTTATCCATAATGGAATTATACTCTACCACAGTGCCCAAGTTTTATACTTATATCATCTTGTGGATACAGAACACAAGATTGATATCAACGAGGCGGCTTTCAAAGTCATCTACCGCATACCAACCAACTAATCTTAATTTTACCTTGAGAGTCTGTTTACTACATATTGCTGAGGCTGTTGCGATCTAAATCAAGCAACCTAACTTATGGATCCAAAAGAAGTTGGTTGGTTCAGACACTGTCCTTACCCCCCTGGCCACTGAGAATTTAACGGTCTTTAATTTGTTGTAGAAATTTCCTTAATTTTATTTAATATTATTCTATTTGTTATAACATTTTTATGCTTATTATAACTTAAGCGTCTTTCTTGAACTGTAATTTCATTGATCTTAACAAATCGATAGTATTTATAAACACGAATATTTTAAATAAGTTGTGTTGTTTGAGCTGGTCGATTTAGCTGCAAAGCTTTCGTCGTCCTTCTGGACAACATCTTCAGAGCATGTTTTAGTATAAAATGAACTCATTTGAATTCGCCATGAATGATATCAATCAAATCTTCTTTATTATTTCAAAACACCAATATTGTTAATGACGATTATTCCAGAATATTCTATGAAGATTCTGTTGTAGATCCAGAAGAGGAAATTATCGAAAAGGATATTCTTTGTTTAATTTTTTCTGATTTATTTATTTTTCTAAATGTCTGAATGCATAATTTTGCTATATTCAGCAAGTTATAGTAAATTTGCTGTCCTTTGCATGTTTAATGTTTTGAAGGATTTGGAAATCTCGATTAAATGACACGTATTCACAAAGTGTATGATAACTCGACTTTGAGAATATCTACTTCTTTTTGAACATAAGTTTATTGGGAAATACTGTCTTGCTGTCTTCTCTCCCTCCCTCCATTTCTACTTTGAAACCATATAGATTGATGGTAACTTAAACTAAAAATTGTAATGTTAACATTTTGAAAGCGTTAATCCCCTACTACTATGCACAAACATTGAAGTATGTTATTGTCATTCTTTTGTAACCATTGTAATTTCAGGTAGTTTGCAGGTGATGAGGACCCGTGAAAGAAAATACCATTTTATGCTGAGAATTTGGCATTTCTTTCCTTACCAAGAAAACCAGACATATGACATTGAAGAATTATTTGCAACTTGAGAATTTGATTTAATAAGTAGTTTAGTTGTTGGAAAGAGATGAGCTAATCTACGCCTGTTGATGATTTTAACAACACTTTTATCTCACCACACTGATAGGTGCTCGTGAGCGCGAAAATGAAGTTCCTGGAGCTACGGCCAATACAATTATGAAAGGTCTGTAAATATCGAACACTCCAAACACTGGATGCCATTGCAATTCACCTAAATCCACAGGAGCTGTGCACGCGAAAGAAGCAGGTTCGACCAGTCACTATGCCTACGCTGAGCTTTTCTGTCAAGCCTATAAATTCATAAATTCTGTGTTTTACTTCTCTTAATTTATCTGATTTTCGTTTAGACAGTTTAGTGTTATATGAATGCATATTATCTCCCGCTTACTGATGCCTTTAAAGTGTAATCTGTCGGTACTGTTATTATTACTATTCCCTTGGGTTCCGAGTGGAACATAGGGCTTCAACAACATATCTCCAGGTCCTTCTGTTCTCTGTCGTCCTCTTCATCTGCGTCCACGATTTAGCATAACCTCTTATCTCCTCCTCCTAACACGATATCCTCCAAATCGCCCTCACACCAATGACCCCCTCCTCGCTTCCCATTCGCATTCCACTTAAGAGGTGGCCTGCACTGCACGCGATGTCATTCGACGGCCTCCTCAACGTGTGCTTAGCTCAATCCATCTCCATTTTCTCCTACATATTTGTTGAGCTATGGTCTCTTGGGTGGCTTTTCCCACATTTTCTTGTTACTAATTCCTTCTGACCTGCCATTTGATCTGCCTTATGGAGAGAAGGCAGCTGTTGACGAAAGTCTACAACCTGTTGGAAATCCTTTTCGTGACACGCAATGCAAGTTTCTGACCCGTATAGAAGAACTGACTGACTGACTTCACATTTGTGTTGGAAATCCGAATCTTGTTGTTTATGCTGGCTGAGTGGAGATTTTCAAGCTGGTCTCAGGTTGATGAAGGCATATGTTGCCTTGTCGATTCTGGCTACCTTTTTGAAATCTTCATCCATTCCGGCTGCCTGTGGTTGAAACCGTGTTTTCTAGCCGGATAAGTGAAGGTAGTAACCTCTGTTAAATCTCCCCCATTGATGGTGATTGTTCTTGTTGGTTGATTATCTTCATCACCTCCGTCTTCTCTAAGTTCACCTGGAGTCCTGTCTTCGCTGCTTGCTTCTCCAACCAGTTTGTTACTTTTCGCCTGCAAGTCCTCGAGTTTGTGTGACATTAAACATAAATCATCTACACGCGAAATTCAGATCTTTTAGAGTCTTCTTGTCAGTCACTGCTTCGTATTCCTGTCTTCTGATTACCTGTGCGTAGTCTAACGCATAATCCAGTCCATCACACTTAAGAGTATTTATTTTAAAAAATTTTATTACAGCTTGACTCAACACCGTATTTTTTGGTACAGGTATGAAATTTTCAGCATGTGATATTGGTAGCCCAAATTTTGCAGGCCGACCATGGATATCAGGTGTGCGTTGGCAGGGGATCAAACTCCAAACCATGTGTATGATCTGCGAGAGTCATAACTGCTGTGCCACCGACGCACGTTGGTGATAACAGGCATTTGTTAATAAGAATATTTCAATTTTTAATAGGCATCTTCGATAAAGGAGAATTTATTTCTTATGTACGGTGATTCCAAAAGTAACAAGTCATAATGATATCTTGAATACACTTTATTATCGTGATTATTATAATTTAGTTATTATTATTATTATCACTTTTTTCATATTCTCATCTGAAGTATTTACAAAGTACCGATTCTGTTCTAAGGTGAGAAGCAGCACAATAATAAAATCCATCAAGTATAATAATACACACGAGTACACAATATCCAACTATGAATTATTGAATAATGCTGGCAAATTAATGCATAAAACCGATAAAAAAAATCACAAATCACTTTTCTCCACCCCCCCCCCCGCTCTTGGTTTCTTTTTCCTCTTTCCAAAACATAAGGGTCAACAACAACAACAACAACAAAATATCACGAAGAAATTGAAGGTAGACATCAAAGTGAGCAAGAAAAAAAATTGGTTTCTGCACTTCCACAGATATACACAGGTAGTCGCACACGCGTACACACACAAACATTCGAAGAACATTTTTTCGGCTTGTTCAACAATAGTTCAGAGGCAAAGAAGTGAATAATGAAATATAACAATGATTGAAATCTTTCATGAAAGAACCTAGTGTTATCCTGGTATCAATAAATTAGTATTATTAACAATAATAATAATAGTAATGCTCATAATTAATCTTTGAAAAAACTGAAGGTAGATATAAATACACTGTCGTTTACACATATACACATATCATACTATAAAGGGGGTGGGGAGGAAGGACAGAAGTTCCAGTAATCAAGATGCAATTATATACAGTTTATTAAAAAGTGGGTTGGTAGACTAAAGGGTAAGCAATAAAGGAAGCAAACAGTAGGACAAATTACCAGTTTTGAGGTTTGAGTAAGACTCATAACACCAGCAAACAAAAACTCCTCAAACATTCATTCACATAAGTTGGCACAATAAAGAGGAGATAAAATAAAATATTATACAACACTAGAAGGGATGGAAAGACAAGCGAATAATAAAGTCACTAATGTATACAAAGGGATGGCGGCGGGTGGGCGAGGTATTATTATAAAAATAAAGCCGCCATACATGTAAATTTGAAATTGTAAGCAGAATCTTTGTTGTTGTTTTTTTTCAACACTACTGATTTCATCTATATTAAGTAGTTGGTTATTCGAGCTAATTTAATAATAATTTCTCAATAGTAATTAATTAAATAAATAAATAGAAGAAAGGAAAGTTTGAAACAAATGAATATTGGGATAAATTAAAATTAAGAAAGAATAAATTATAATCAGATTAAGTAATGAAGTTGTCGAGTAGATCTCTTTGTTTGTATGTATGTGCGTGGGAGTAAGTTCGTTACTGCGTACTGATTGGCTGATTGATCGACTGACTGACTGTCTTGATTGATAGACAGACAGACACACACAGACTGATTGATACATACACTGACATTAGAATTGGAAAAAATTTCCTTTTCTTCGTTCATTTATGCGTTATTCCATTCACAATTCATGTTAATTCATATTTGAAAAAATCACATGAAAGTAGGAATAAGAATAAGTGGAAAAAAACACAAAAACAAAGTTCATCAAAGAAGGAAGGACTCACTAACTTCTCTACAGACTTAATGTGTTATCGCCACATCAGTATAAAAGCGTATTGAAGACACACACACACACACACAGACAAAAATAGAAGTATAGTCAATATCAATTTCTACTTCAATGTTTATTGTCATGGAATTGGTTGAGGTGAATTTAGCCAAACAATAGGTCCAGCATTATTAAAGATAATTTCTTTTACACGATTGTAAGCGACATTGTAGTCATCTGTTGTTACAATAGCTGTAGATTCAAAAGTGAAGGCAAGAACACAAAAGAAATAGAAGACAAAATTGTGAGTAAAGTTGAACATACAAAAAAAACACTTACGGTTGGTTATCAATCAGAAAAAGATAATTCCAAGGCAGGTGAAGGATAAGCTACCGAGTTTGGCTACTTCAATGTGCATTTATAAATCTAACTGTTCTGGTGTTGAGAGACAGCTCTATATTGGCCGGGGATAGAAACCGGGACCATATGTGTAGTTGGCAAGCGTTCTACCGCTAAACCTCGGACGCACATTTGTGATTACAATCACAGTTAAATATCAATTGATTCTCATTATTATTTCAAAGCTATCATAAATAAATATGTATACGATTGTACAGCTTAATAATACATTAATTGGAAGAGATCTCTTCGCTGAATCACTTGTTTTCGCTTTCCTAGACTGTACTAATGACAATTTTCCACGGGTTTCTTCAATGTCGAATAAAGAAAAAAGACTTTTAAAGTTAAGAGAGGTTTGATGATATTAGATAGTTGGAGGCGATCCCCCACAGGAAGCCTTGGACTTAGGTTTCATGCTAGTTGACACTCACCAGTCAGAAAGGCGTATCTGCAACCTCCTTGAAGGAACTCATGTCCCTTCTGAGATTCGAACCCGCGTCACCCAGTGCTGCAGTCACAGACGTTACCACTAAGCTATTCGGGCTCGCGATTGACCTCCTGTAGGACTGTAGTGGGTATTTTCATTGGATACCAGTTACTAGTGTCCAATGAGAGAGGTTTATAATAATTACGATCGAAAAATACAACAACGTTTTGTCGTCTGGTATTTTAATTTATTAGTGATCTGGCATACAGAGAGTGTTAAACATTTCAGTTATTTAGAAAGTTGCATCAGACTCAATAATGAACTGACCGCCGACGACATCTCGACACAGACGCTAAAGACTCGTGTGGGGTTTGCCTTGCCTACTTATGTCATCTGAAGAGTAGACGTTATATTCAGCTATCTATGGAAGGTCGTGTGTACTGAACAGAAGTTCACTGTGTCCCCTTTTATGATATGGTCACTGAAAGTAGAAAATATGAAAAGGCTAGAGCTGTCTTCAATCACAGATTTTCGCGTTTTGTAATCCATGTCAAGCGTTATAATATGGTGAATAATATTGAGGTTAGGCCTCGGTCGAGTGCTAGGTAAGTAGGGCAAGTCAGTCGATGTAGTTGCGCAGCTACATCGACTGAGATGGTCGGGACGCCTCCTGAGGAACAAGCAATGTTAGCTGACATCGGATTAAGTTGGAAAAGAGTTATGCGTGCTCAAACCAAAAACATGACGTCAGTCTATAAAGTCAGTGATAATTGGTTTGAGTCATGTGGTGAGGTGAATGTCATCTGGTTGGGGTTGTCAGGCTTTTAAGAACCAATGCCTGAGGACTATTCAAGGTGTGTTTCAAAATCAATCTCAATGGCGCAGATGCATTCACTCCTTCTGATCTCGCATATCCATTAAACCCTCTTGTTTTTCCACGTCGCTATTCTTTCTATTATCCGCACATTACTGCTCATTGTAGCACTTTCAAATCTCTCCTTTCTCTCTCTCTTTTGTCAGCCTTTATGTGCTACATAGTGTGATATATGAGGATTAATAGCTGAAGCCGTTATGCAAAGATCAGAATTAACAGCCCTACCTATAATTAAACCAAAAATCTGGGTACTTTATGTGTTGATGGTAAATTTGTAATAGTTAAAATAAATGATCTGGAATATACCCACAAATTAATAAACAACATATTTGAAGACTTGGATGTACTGGACAGCTGTTTTGTCAGCCTAGTTTGGAATTCTTGATTAGTACCTGGGGTTCTAGTGGGGAGCCATGATCAGTAGGGTACAGCAGGTTGAAGGTGAGGGCAGTCACTCATCGACGAAGACATTGCGAAATGGTCGCGCTATGTCATGAATTAGCAGAAGTTAGAGTTCATGGGCTGGCCATTAGATCAGGTTCAAGTGGCTTAACGGTCTACGAACTAGCTCGCCGTGTAATCAGGAGGTCATGGGTTCGAACTCTTGTATTGGGTGCGAACTAATGAAGAGCTGCAAGCACTAAAACGAAACAGCTGTCCAGAACTCTGTGGTGGTTTTCCACTGGTTCTCTAATTGATGTCAGCTCATGATGAAATTCTCCAACCAAACAAACAACCAATACCTGAAGATATCTGAAGAAATTAAATTTACCACAAGAGAAGAAGAATCAGACAACAAAACTGCTTTATTGGATATCGTAATGAAGACTGACGAGGATATCAAAGCAAGAATCGGAAATGCAAGACAAGCTTTCACTACTCTCAAGTCGGTGTGGAGGTCAACAGCACTCAGAATCAAAAATAAGATCCGGATTATCAACTCCAATGTGAAGTCAGTGCTACTATACGGATGGATCAGAGACTTGGCCAGCGCGTCATAAAGAGCATCTCAAACAAACTACAGACCTTCATTAACAGTTGTCTTCGCTCAATACTGCTCAAGATCAGATGGCCGGCCAGAAAAGATTAGCAACAGCGAGTGATCTCTGGAAGCAAACCAACCAGCAACCGATTGTGCAACAAATATGCAGGAAGAAATGGAGGTGGATTGGCTTGGTCATACTCTGAGAAAACAACTCATCAAGTGACATCACTAGACAAGCCATCGCTCGAGTGGAACCCGAAAGGGAAGCGGCGAGTTGGTCGTCGGTGCGACGGTGACATGGAGGAGGTCGTGTGAAGAGGAGATGAAAGCATGTGGGCAGACATGGGGCCAGGTGAAGACACTAGCAGAGAACCGAACTCAATAGAGACGCACGGCTGAAGCCCTATGTTCCTCTAGTAATTAAAGGATACAATAATAATAATAAAGACAACTAAAACAGTATACTTGGAAACACAAGTATATAAAAAATCAAAGCACACAGACCAAATACTCAACTACAATAGTAATAACCCGACTACCCACAAAAGAAAGTGTGTGCAGACATTGTTTAAAAGAGTTCAAACACACTGTAGCACTACTCCTGTGTTGAAGAGAACAGAGGAAAAATACCTACTAACCGTCTTCAAAAAAAAATGAATATCCCCCCTACAATTTCATCAAAAAATGTCTAAATTCGAGTCATAACACCAACAACAAGCCAACATCAAGGAACACGAGAAAATTCATTCTACTATATATCAGAAAAAGTATCTCTGAAATAACAGCTAGAATATTAAGGCCGTTTGAAATAGATATAGCACACAAGCCAGCCGGCCAACACAATCACTTCATTCGATATTATGCGAACCGAAAGATCCAACAGAAATAAAATAAAATTAGTGCCATTTACAAAATAAACTGCAATAAACATTACAACGTAGTTCATAGTGGGTGTCCCCTTCGAATTCGAATTCAAGAACACAAATTGGCTATAAAAAGACATGGTATATATTCTTTCATATCGATGCATGTGGATAATTATGGATACCAATTTTATGATTGGAATAATGTAGACATTTTAAATCGAGGAAACACCAGAAATAAAGTCAGGGAATTCCTAGAAGTCTGGTACTCAAGTGAATCAGTGATTAACAAACACATTATTATAGACCAAATTTACCGGCTAATAAAAGTAAGTCATCACATGTCAAGATAGTTCGAATTCCAAGTCAATAAAAATATGATCAATAGGGACGTAAATTAACAACCAGTCACGACAGTGGTTGCCAGGAGATATAATTACATTACATTAAAATTTGCGCTGAAGATGTTGTCCAGAGGGATGACGAAAGCTTCTCAATTAGATCAACCACCTCCTCAGAGAACATTACTAATTCAATATCACATCCACCTGAGCTACAAATCTTCTCCATTATGAAATGCTGCGCGTGTGCGCTAAGCTGTAGGTTGAAACTCAGTGAATCAATCCAGTCAGAGTCACTTCTTATATTCACCACACAAACACTGAAATATTTTTTTAAGTATCGGTTTGTAGGGATTTGGTTGATTGATTATAGGACTTCATCATGAGCTGACATTGGTTAGAGAACCATTGGAAAACCTGGGAGTACTGAACAGGTGTTTCGTCCCAGTTTGGGACTCTTCATCAGTACGCACACACAGGGGTTCAAACCAACGACCTTCTGGTTACAAGGCGAGCTCGTAGACCATTAAGCCATTAGGACCTGATCCAATGGCCTGCCCATGAATTCTAACTTCTGCTAATTCACGATATGGCGAAACCGCTAGCCAATGTCTTCGGCGAGTATTTGTCCTCACACCCGACCTGCTGCACCCTACTGGTCACAACTTCCTACTAGAACCCCAGGTAACTACAAACCAATACTTGAATATCAATGAGATGCTCACTGGCGACTGGCCCTATTCAGGTAGGTAGTTACCTGGGGTTCTAGTGAGAAGTCATGACTAGTAGGGTGCAGCAGGTCGGGTGTGAGGACAAATACTCGCCGAAGACATTGGCTAGCGGTCGCGCTATATCGTGAATTGGCAGAAGTTAGAATTCATGGGCAGGCCATTGGATCAGGTCCTAATGGCTTAATGGTCTACGAGCTCGCCTTGTAACCAAAAGGTCGTTCGTCTGAACCCCTGTGTGTGGGTGCGTACTGATGAAGAGTCCCTAACTAGGAAGAAACAGCTGTCCAGTTCTCCAAGGTTTTCCAATGGTTCTCTAACCAATGTCAGCTCATGATGAAATCCTGTAACTAAAATATCATATATCAGTCACTGAAAGATAGTCTTCACACCAAATCAACCATGCCGTTTACTACTAGAGTGCATAACAGGCATAAAGAAGAAGTATAAAGTTTGAATGATGACTTGGGGAAAGCTTAGTAAACTAAAATTAACTCACAATCACATTATATAACTTAACAATTTACATTAGATTATAAAATAATTATTTTTAATGACATGGATTAACTAACATCAGAGAATAAAACGGAGTTTGAAAAAGAAAAAAAGTGAATTGAAGATTCAAAATGAAAACAATTCATCCTGTCATGAGACTGTCACCTATATGTATCTTTAGTTTGTGAAGATTTTATGACAGTAGGCTTTAACTCCCAATACTATCCACCTACGAAAAATGAATGAATGAAAGGATACTTTTCGACAGTAGGTTATTTTTGATATACAGTGAACAGCTTTCAATGTGACTGAATGACATTTGGCTTTCACATTTTGTTTTACGCGATGGGGTTGCTAGCCTAACTTCGCGAAATTCCCTCATTCCTAGCCTTACTATCAACTTGGCGAGGCTTAGGTGTGCGTTGGCCGAGGATTGAACAACGGACCGTATGTATGGTTGGCGGCGAGCTTTATATCTCTGAATTACCGATGAATGCATATACGATTTTAATTAAAAGCAGAAACATTTACAAATTGTTTAAAATTGCAGTGTCCTAGTGGATTGAAACTTTTTTCATGAATACTTCCCATTCCGGCATTATTAAAAACAGAACACGTAGTTCCGACGACAGGCTGTACAATCACATGTATATACAATACTTTCTTCATGAAAGAGGGTAGTAACAGGGTAGTGATGAGTGGTCACAATCATAGTTCCCGACCGAAAGCTGCTACCTTGACGTGGTGGTCGGGCTTGAACACTGCAATGACTCAACAAGCTATACTGGCTGAGACTTTTGTCGCTTGAGGTCCTACTATGCCAGAAAGGTTGTTTGTATAGCGGTTAGACAAAAAGCAGTTACCCAATCCAATACTATGATTCAAAGAAATTCACAAAATATTATGCCGGATCGGTTGGGGCCCGGATTAACAACCACCGCGCTTCCTGCTGCCATGTTACAGGGTAGAAGTGATAAATATGCTACTGAGACACACCAAATGAAAAACAACAAACAAAAACAGGCCGTGTGTGACCGGCCTCAAGCAGTTGTCCCCTGGGCTCTGCGGTCACGCAACGGACTTTCACGGTGTGAGCAGCTTGTAACTAACAATCGCCCTCACAATCCTGACAATCATAGTTGTTGTTAATATTAGTCAATGTATAAGACAATTTGAATAAGGAAGTGTACTGGAGTTATGCAATAACACGGATAATCTAATAAATGAGTTGTAGTCAGGATGCACATAAAATTCATGGAGTTAGGCGAAAGTTCTAAAGAAATACAAGAGTGATAAGGAGTCAGAAAAACGGACAAACAAAAATCAAGTCAGCAGAAATCAGCAAGGTTGTTATCATGACAGTAGAAGTTGTTGGATATTTTTCCCCCTGTATGCATAGTTCCGATTTATCTATCTATCTGAATGACAAGAGGGAAACTTCACCTGTGCTAACTAACCTCAAGAGAGGAATTTCATCATCATTGAGAAAAGCATTCTTTGCAGAAACGTTAAGCGTAGTTCCTCCAGTTGGCCATTGGTTTGCAGAAGCCTTAAGGACAAGATCTCGCATTTGACCACTTCTATGTGCATATATTAATCAGTTCACTTATTTCTGTGGAGCAAAGTACATTAGTCGTTCGACACATATCCTGTCTAAAAGGGTTGAACAACACTGCCCTGCGCGGTTTCAGAAAGGTAGTTGTGGTTGTATAAGGAGTGCGATAATCAAACACCTTGGCAACACTGGTCATTTCATCTTAACAAACGCCTCCTCCTCAAAGTAATCTACAAAGTGAAGAACAACTTGCCAAAGTCAATACGCTTTCGTTTTCTTTGTACTGCTGAAAGCTTTAGCCATTCGGATAGACAAATCAGACTTATGTATACGGGAGGAAAATAACCAACACCTTCTACTGTCATGATAACAACCTTGCTTATGTATACTGTTTTGATTTTCATTTGCTTATTTTCCTAACTCCTTATAACTGCTGTATTTCTTGAGAACTATTACATGCTTCTGTTACTTCCCTCTTTCATGAAGAAAGGATTGTACATAAACGTGATTATACAGCTAAAGAGGAAGGAGAATGAATTCTCTGAAAATAGCCTCTTGGCTGAACTACGTGTTTTGTTTTCATGATAATTTCTTCCTCTCCAGAAATCCATATAAAGTTAAGTCGATTGAAAATGTGATCTTTGCACATAAAATATCCTTATGGATGTTACATGTTATCTATTGAACTCGCCTATTTTACTAGTTCACTACTTTTTTAACCGACACTATTCTGAAGGAAACAAGGAAAGTAAGGCTTGGAGCTAGAGACCCTGTCTGGGAAAATCAATCAAACTGCTACAGAAACTTCAACGCACCATAAAAATTCTAGAAATATAAAAAAAGAAACTTAATTTTCACTGGAAGCGGAGAGACGAAATGACGCAGCGCGCTGGTGTCAGCCTTCCAAATTAGGACGTGGAATGTTCGAATAATGTATGGAGCTAGAAAGACTGCTCAAGTTGACAAAGAAATGAGGATATATGGCATTGACGTACTAGGAACCGGTGAGAGGATGTAGAATGGATATGGACTAACAAAACTGTCAACTGGAGAGTAAATAATCTACTCCAGACGCTCAGATGACAACCAAGAGCACACTGAGGTAGTCGGAGACTATCGTAATGTTACCAATAGCAGGCAAACCTCTTATTCAGTGGGAACCAATCTCCTCCTGCAGGAAATACAGCAAGATCGAGTGACATGGAAGAGATCGTATGAGGAGGAGATGAAAGTTTGTGGGCAATCAAGGGCCCGGTTGAAGAAGACTGCAGAGAACGGGACAAAATGGAGATATGTTACTGAAGCCCTATATTCCACTTGGAACCCACGGGAATAATAATAATAATAATATTAATAAATAAACGTATTTTTTACAAGTCAAAATCACAAGTAACCCTGTAAAAACTGAAACATACCAGTTAGAAAAGAAGTAAAATGTTGTAAGAGGCGTCCAAGTTTAACTTGTAAATTTTTTAAGGCTTCAGATTCTACTGAGGTACGTTTCTGTAACTTTGACTTATTATTTTTGCCTTGTTCATTGGCATTCGGCGACTGTTCATTATTATTATGATTATTATCATTACCACCATTATCACCGACATCATCATGAACATCATTCTTATCTGTTGGTGACAATGTTTCAGGAAGTACAAGAATAGCGATTGGTGGTAGTCCAGCCGATTCTAAACGTTTCAATGCTGGCCCACCAACATCCAGTAAACAATGTAAGCCTAGCTCAGACACTTCAAACACTGAGTCCAAATGAGTACCATACAGATTACCATTGTATTCCCCGGCTTCTAGATACTTTTGAGCAGCTATATCTGCAACCATTATCTCCTTGCTAATAACAAAATGATAATCACGACCTTCAACTTCATTTGGTCGACGTTGTCGAGTTGTATCTAAACAGATGAGAAGAAAAGAAAAAAACCAATGAGAGATTGTTGAGGCGAAAAAAAGCAAGGCATTTAAATAATAAAAATTAAAGTTTTAATTTGAAAATTCGCATTTTTCACATTTAGAAAAACAAACAACTACAAATTGAGCGAAGAAATATGTTGCTTTCTTTCAATTAGTTCCTCATCATCGGCTCTACGCTGATATATAGTTTCTTACATCGAAATTCTACCAAATATGTAATTTTTAATCCTTAAGAATTACCATTTTTAGGCATAGAGGAGTGGCGTGAAAATAAAAGGGTCAGAAACTTACACTGCGTGTCACGAAAAGGATTTACAACAAGTTACAGACTCTTATCAACAGTTGCCCACTTCGCTGTCTCCATACTGAAGATCAAATGGCTAGCCGGCCAGGAAGAATGAGTAACGAGAAACTCAAACTGGTAACAAACCAACCAAGATCCGATCGCTCAACAAATATATAGGAGAAAATGGAGATGAATCGGGCTCACGTTGAGGAGGTCTCCGAACGACATCGCGCACCAGGCTCTCGAGTGGAACCCCAGTGGGAAGTGACCAGTAGGTCGTCTGTGAGACGGTGATATGGAAAAGATCATGTGGCAAGGAAGAGGAGATTAGACATTATGAGCAGTGGTTGACGCAGTTGAAGAGGACGACAGAGAGGAGAACAAAGTGGAGATGTGTTGTTGAAGTCCTATCTTCCACTTTAACCCAAGGGAATAATAATAACAGTGATTAGTGTAATGTGTCTAGTCTTTTGTTTGGTGGAGACTGAATTCTATCAGTAAAATTGAGCGAAGAAGTATATCCTTCGACATCGACTTCACACTAGCACACAGTTTTTTACATCGAAATTATACCAATCATGTGGTTGATTTTAGTCCATAAGAACTATCAATTTTAGGTAAAAGGGGTTGGGTGGGTGAAAGTAAGAGATTAGAAATCACCAAAAGCATTAAATAATAGGCGTTAGCAATGATATGTCTAAGTTTTGGGGCAGAAGTGAAAGTAATTACGAAATTCAAGATAAGTTTATTCGTATGTACCAGTAGCAAATCATTAATTGGTTGGAGGATTTCGTCATTAGCTGACATCAGTTAGAGAACCATTGGAAAACCTGCAGGAAGTACTGGGCAGCTGTTTCGTCAGCCTACTTTGGGACTCTTCATCAGTACGTGCCTACCACAGGGGTTTGAACCCAGGACCTTCTGATTACAAGGCGAGCTAGCTCGTAGACCATTAAGCCACTGGGATCCGATCCAATTCTGCGAATTCATGACATAGTGTGACCACTGGCCAATGTCTTCGGTGAGTATTTGTCCCCACGCCCAATCTGCTGTAGACTAGTGGTCACGATTTCCCACTAGAACCCCGGATAACAGCTGTCCAGTACTCCCTGCAGGTTTTCCAATGGTTCTCTAACAGATGTCAGTTCATAATGAAATCCTGTAACCAATCAATCAAATCACTACAAAACCAATACTTGAAAGTCATTATTATTATTACCATTATTTTTATATCATTTCTTGGAAATTACTACTTAATATACATATTAAGTAGTTTAACAGCTTGAAACGTTATTATCCAGCAGCAATTCAAGTAAAATTGTACATTTCAGATAAAAAATGCAAATTAATTATGAATTCTGGACTGGTCTATTCCTTCATACATATGGAAAGATAATAAGATGAAAGTCAACTAATACTACGAATAATGGCTTTATTCTGAAAAGCGTATTTAGACAAAGTACAGAATTTTCAGCGAGTTTCAGAATCTTCAAATAATATAACAACCAATAATATATCGTCTGAAGCAGTATCGTTCCATCCGGAGCATGTTCTAGTACTACTTCCAATAGTCCACAGCCTTCAAAAACTTCCTCACGATAGGTAGAAACTTACTTGAAATTGTGCGCCAGTAGAGATTGCTACTCATTGTGGTAATTAGACGATTAAAACAAAATGTAAAATGGAGTAAATACAATGATGCATCTCAATGGAAAGGAAATCCAAGTGGCCCAGAGACTGAAACAGGCCGCCGTTTTCATTTTAGAATAGTTTAGTCCATTGATGAAAGCCATGTGACTATTGATTATGCAAAGTAAAAAAGAAGGATACACAATTCTGGAGAATGTGGTGTCATCATACTGAAATCACTATTCAGTAGTATATTTTCAGTGAGAAGTCGACAACATACCTTAATCTGAATACAAAAAGGGCAAATCACTGTGCGTCAATTAGATATATATATGAAAATGATTTGAACCGTCAATCAACAAGGTAAGTACGTTCAATCCGTGCGACATCAGTGACCTTAACTTAAGTAGGTCAATGAAGGTTTGAATGTATAACATACTGGTTTTAAATTGACTGTTTATATCCAAACATGTTCTATTATTGTTTTATTATTATTCCTTTGGGTTCCGAGTGGAACATATGGCTTCAACAGAACATGTCAACTTCACACTGTTCCCTGCAGTCCTCTTTAGATGGCCACACGATTACCCATAAGCGGTCATTTCTTCCCCACACGATCTCCGCCATGTGACGTTTGGACCCAGGTTGAACTAGACGTTTCTCACTTACCTTCCAATCGAGCAACAGCCTGAATTGAGCGTTATGTCATTCGACGAGTTCCTCATTGTCCGTCCGATTCATCTCCATTTTGTTCGAAATATTTGTTGAACAACAGATTCTTTCATTGGTTCGTGCCCTGAGTTTCTTGTTACTGATTCTTTCTGACCTACCACCTGTCATCTGACTTTCAGTATGGAGCCAGCAGTTGATAAAAGCATGCTGTCGTAATTCGGAAATGGTTTTCGTGATGCGTTGGGTAAGTTTCTGACCCATTTAAAAGAACTGACTGACATAACATTGGTTTTACTAGAAGCCCAGTTTTCATGTTTATGGTGAGTTCAGAATATTTCCAGACTAATTTCAGAGTGAGGCGGGTCACAAAGAATATTTCCAACAGCCTGTTGCAGACCTTTATCAGCAACTGTCTCCGCTCTATACTCAAGATCAGATGGCCGGAAAGAATCATCAACAAGAAACTATGGGAACAAACAAAACAAGAACCAATCACTGAACAAATATGCAGGAGAAAGTGGAGATAGACTGGACACTCGCTGAGGAAGCCGCTGAGTGACATCGCACGTCAGGCCAATGCTCGAGTGGAACTCGAAAGGGAAGCGGCGAGTGGGACGTCCAAGGGTGACATAGATGAGATCGTGTGAAGAGGAGTTGAAACAGTATGGATTAATATGGATGCAGGTAAAAAGCACAGCAGAAGACAGATGCAAGTGGAGACGTGCAGTTGAAGCCCTATGTTCCACTAGGAACCCAAGGGAACAACAATAATAATAATAAATGGTGAGTTCAGAATATTTCCAGACTAATTTCAGAGTGATAGCATGCCTTTCCTCATCCATGATCTCTTTCAGATTTATTCCGTTGATAGTGATTGGTTATCTTCATCACCTCCGTCTTTTCTATGTTCACTTGAAGTTATGCCTTTTTGCTGTTCTAGGTGACAGTAGTATAATACTATTTTAACAATGACAAAAAAAAATTACTAATATTTCACCTGTACATAGTGATTTCTGTAGAAAGGTAAAGAATAGTTTTTATTTCTGCATTCCAGACAACATTCTTGTCCATTTAAAACAACAACAAAAAGCAGTAGTGAGTAACCAAAGAAAACTCTAAATCAAAGCAGCAATGAATACAAAAGAAAAAAAAGAAAAACATTTTCACTTACATGGAACAGCTGTCCCAAAAAGATCAGGAAATTCACACAATAATTCATCAGCAATTCTATCCTTCATATAGCCTAATATAACAACAGGTCTAGCGAAACTGAGATGAACTGGTGTGACTGCTATGTAGGACAGAGGTCGATGACGCTGATCACTGCTACGACGACGATGATGATAACGACGCCTTGAAGAATCACGACAACCTGGGGATGATGATGATTAGAAAAAAGAGGGTAATACTGATTAAGTTTTGACTAGACAGGAAGGCGCTGGTCAGTAGACTTTAATATTAATTGAAGTATACATAAAATTAAACTCAACATAAAGTAGGGGGATAGAATCACTCTTATAAAAGGGTGTTTTTCTTGAGTACAACATGAATAATCATCTACAAGTTCAGATATAAATCAAACATAATACATTATGAAAGTACTTGTTAAGGTAATTTTTTATATCATTTATTCTCAGGCAATATTGTAATGCTCCAGACACTCATCTATTCAAAGGTTGTGGTATAACTGTTACGACAAAACTCATAATCACCTCAGTAGTGCCGTTAGGCAGCTATACAGTCAATGTTGTTATCTAAGCGAAAAACAAGTAGTTGGCATCAAGTTAGATACACTTAACAAGGTGGCATTAAAAACTCCGTCTGTCTCTCTGTTTTCGACATAGAACTTTGCACATATGTGCGGCATTTCAAGTCGCCACACTTCACTCAGCACACAAAGCAAGAGAAGAAAGTAGGAGAAATGCATATTAGAGACAGTAAACAGAGGTGTGGGACAAAGGAATAGTAATAACGAAGAACAAAACAGTTTCATTGGAAATCATAAGTCACAAGGAGTGGATGCATCTGCGCCATTGAGAACGATTTTGAGCCATGTCACCAATTGTTTCCAACCATTGGTTTTTACCATCTCGAGGACCCCAACCAGGAAGTCTACACCTTCCTACGTGACTGGCTGGCTTAGACTAACTGTTGTTATCGATTTCATTGACTGGTGCCATGTTTTGGTTTGACCGCCGCTAGCTCTTTTCCAGTCTGACCCTATGTCAGCCAACATTGCCCGTCGGTCGAGGCAGGCGATCGATAGCGAGACATACGTAACACATGTCCTAACTATTTCAGTCGATATAACTTCACAGTATCGTCTATTGATTTCACCCTCCCTCCCCATTACCTAGCACTCGATGCCTAACCTCAATATTGCTCACCTTATTATACCACTTCATACGGGAGATAGAACGCAGACACCTATGATCAAAGACAGCTAATCTTTTCATGTCTTCCACTCTCAATGGCCAGGTCTCACATCCATAAAGGAGGACGGAGCGGACTGATGAGTAGTACACACGCCCTTTGGTCGATAGTCGGATATCACGTCTACGCCAAAGACAGCGTAAACTGGCGTATGCGAACCTAGCCCTCTGTATTCATGCTGAGATTTCGTCCGAGATCAACCCGTTGGGGCTGATGGTACTTCCCAAGTAAGTGAAGCGGTCAACGTGCTCTACCACTTCACTCCCTATTTCCAATCTTCCACGCACACGAAACCTCCCTGAGCATCAATCTCCCTTACTCACATCACTTTCCTCATCTTGCTTCTCTACTACAGTTAGCACTATTCTGCAGGCTAGTGAGTCATTTTCACTTCACTCTGTGTCCAGAAACAAAGGTGAGAGCCATAGAAACACCCCAGATAGCCTTTTAAAGCCACGTCGCCAACTTGATTAAAAACTCTATTCCCAAGAATCACACACACCAACGCTTCTCGCACACAGTTCAAGGTCAGAGTGACCTCCATTCACTCAATTAAAGTCGCTACCATAAGACAACACACAACAGGAACAATAACAAATAATAGTGGATCAAGTCAACAGATATTATGCACTAATGTCGGAACAATGATATATATATATATATATATACTGATTGAGTAATAATGAACTGCCGCTTATCTGTCATTTTTATGTTATTCAATGTTATGAATGGATAGGTTTATTATTTCCGCTATATATATATATATGTTGTTTGGTAATTTTTATTACCTTTATATTCAGGTGCATGATTTTTAATGCTCCCTTTGAATTCTTGTACTACGTCAATCAAATCGCTGCAAATCAATACTTGAAGATTATTCTAGTTAGTGCTCACTAATAACTCACTAGATGATAAAAGTCCCTGAAGTTCTAGAGGGGTCCACCAAATTGGGTGTGAGGAGAAATACTCATTGATGACATTGGGCTAGTAGTCGCTGAGTATGCCGAATCGGTACAAGTTAGAACTGATGGACCATTGGATTTTGTCCCACAGACTGAATGGTATAAGGGGCCCCCAAAGTAAGCTAAAGGTCCTGAGTTCGTTCCCTAGTGGCTTTATGGGGGTGTCGAAGAGCCTTTAAATGAGGATAAAGCAACTGTCCAGTACTTCCTGACTTTATTTTTTAATGAATCGTTAACCAATGTCAGCTCGTAATCAGACTTGAACTAATGCACTATTCAGATTTACATTGAAATACGAAAGAAAAGAAAGCGTTTTTATTTTTTATTTTATTATAGCTTGATTCCACACAGTATTTTGGTACAAGTATGGAATTTTCAGCATGTGATATTGGTAGCCCAAATTTAGCAGGCCGACCATAGATATCAGGTGTGCGTCGGCGGGGGATCGAACCTCGGACCATGTACATGGTCGGCGAGCATCCAAAGAACTTTATCAACAAAATCAACACTGACATTGATTATGGTCGAAAACGCATTCCAAAAATATGGACCTCATCAGTTGTCATTCCATACAGAGCAGAGACCTCAGATGATATCAGAAGAGTACTCAATAAGCACGACATCAGAGTTTTCTTCAAAACATCAGACACACTACAAAGCAGGCTTGTCCATGTAAAAGATCAAATTCCTAAAGATTCTCTATCTAATTGTGTCTACACAATAAAATGCTTGGAATGTGATGCGATATGCATCGGACAAATATCGCGGGAAATCAAAATCAGAAGAAATGATCACCGTAGAGCATCTGTCTGACCACCGAGAAATAAATCCAGTTGAACTGGAACAGCTTGAAAAATCATTAGCCATAGATAACTTACACGCTATAGAATCAGGTCACAAAATTGATTTTGACAATACTGAGATCATCATAGAGAAAAATTGCAGAAATTAAAAAGCAATATCTCAAATCAGAAGCACTTCCACATTAAGTGGAATCCAAATGGTATGAATAGGAGTGATGGACTAAAACAGAATTTGATCTGGTCGCAACACCTCACCACCACCACATGAAATGACAGAATCGACACAAATGTGACAAGCAATTTCATTATGTAAACACACGCTGCTTTTATAATTTTACACACTTATCAAATCCAACAATAATCTACACCTGGTTTTGTTATCTTTGTCAATTGGCCAACTTGGCAGCAACGCTAAAATGACCCCATGCTGAGGAATGATGACTAAGTTGTTATATATAAGCTGAGATTTTGTAAATTCTGGTTTAAATATACTTTGATAAAGCTATTAGCAGCATTAAATAGCGAAACGTCAGTAAAATCAACAATATCGTTTTGTCTATCATTTATTGGAAATACAAAAAGCCTTTGCTATAATGAAAATCGTGCCACGTGTAACGAGAACAAAACATTCACCAAATTTTTAACTATTCAATATAAGCATATAATTACATTATATGAAAATGGTGGTACTTTAACATTCAACTTCGTGTATGCAGCTATTAATCAACACGTAACAATAAGGTAGTAGGATTTAAAAAGAAATAAGTAAAGAGAGAATAGTTAATAATTATTATTATTTATCATGATTATTCCCTTAGACACTGACTGGAACCATAGGGCTTCAACAGAACATCTCCATTCCCTCCTGTTCTCGGCTAGTTTCATGACTGTTCATGAATTTGTATCTCCTACCCACACGATCTCCATGTCAGCCTCGGACTCATTGCCAACTGATCGTTTCCTATTCAGGCTTCACTATAATGATTGCATGGAGTGGACCCACGTTATAACCCGAAGATCATGGGCGATCATAGGTGTGTCCTGATGAAGAATCCAAAAGTAGGATGAAACAGCCGTCCAGTACTCCCCCTAGGTGGTTTCCAAGGATTTTCTAACTGAATGAATTTTTTTGATCGATCTTTAAATAACTAGAATTACTAGTATCGATTCTCTGAAAAATAATAGCGAAAACATAGTTTGCCATAACTGTGTTTTAAATTCATCACTCCTTTGGTGAAGGATAAGCAACCGAGTCTGGCTACTTCAGTGTGCATTTATAAATCTAACTGTTCTAGTGCAGACGGTTTCATTGATAGGTAAGTAGAATGACTGGGAAAGCCAACTGTCGCCTTCTAGAGCATTGTTCAATATGATTTGGTAAAGGAGTTGTAGAGTCAATCAGAAGTTCTGTACTGGCACACCTAGTGGTGGATACGGAGTACAAGAATGACAAAAATTCAACTTTTGCAATTTTATACAAATGGTAATTGCCGTAAAAATGTTTCTGCATAATCTTTTATTTCAGAAAATGTTTGTTCAATCACTCTCCCTTCCATGGCCTTCAACACTGACTTACAATAGTTATCACGGTGACACCGGATAACTAACTGTAAATATCATTTTTTTTTTCAATTTGTACTTTTAACTTCATTATCGCTATCATACTGTAGTTTTTATATAGATGTACACTCGAAATCCTGTAAAGCGTTGATATTACCTTCTGAAGTAATTGAGAATATGAGAATCGAGGATTATATCTATATTTTTAGTGTGAACTTAGTCCAGCTCTACATATACACTTCTGATCAGTCAAGTAATCAAGCATTATCGATAGTGTGTAGTAATTATGTTGACGGAAAAATTGTTTTTGGAAAATACCTCTAGAACAATGGGATCAAAATATATTTATAATTATATGGATGTTTCAGTTAACTGTGCAAGAGTATTGTCCCCTTTTTTCTCGTACACTGTACATCATTGTTTCGACATTTGCATGCTATCTGTTGACTTCATCCTAATTATCTGCCTTTGTCCCTGTTTAATCTCTCCTCGTGATTGTATGATGATATTGATAATGTGACTGCGATTTGTTTGAATGAATGGAGTTCACCTTGACCTTGAACTGTCTGTGGGAATTGTTGGTGTGTGATCCTTGTGGACAGAACTTCGATTCCAACCGATTGGTAATATCCTGCTTAACTCTCTGGTACTTCCTACATTTGAATTTGGATTAACTAATTTTGTTCTACAGCAATTATATTTTTGTACTTTGAAAATTAGTAGCTTTTCATAGCTGCCTAACAGCACTGTTGAGATAAATTTGAGTTTTTCACGTTATTATTGTTGTGTAGAATCATTGATTTATCGAAGAATAATCGTAGTTTTTCGCTGTCTTTTGAGAGTTTTGTGACTGTATCTGTCTCAGGAAAGTTCAGGCTAGCTAATAGGACGCATAGATCGGTTACCTGAGTTTAGACTACAACGACTCGGTTTCAGTCGCTACAATTACTACGAGAGCCATTAACCAACAGATTTAAGAATTTCCATGTGTTGGTATGCAGCTATTTGAATGATTTCAAGTTTTGGTCACTAACTGAAGGCCAAGAATCACTGGACATCTGCATCGTTGTAGTTTGAAGCTCTTCAGCAAGTACGCTGCCAAAATCCCACGGGCAATCAAACCTAGGGCCTTTTCAGGTTACGAGGTGAGCTCTTTGAAAAAATAGTTACTGGGGAGGATTCTAATGACCATGATTCCTGAATCCTGCTAGTTCTCAATACTGACATCTGGACAACTGGATTACTTCCCTTTGGCTGATTAGTCAACCTGAACGTCCCGCATTCGACCGCCGGTCAGTTCATAAGTGAGTACTGGTAAAGAGTCGCAGACTAGGGTAGGACAACTATCCAGGTTTCCTCCAACTTCTTCAGTGGTTCTGAAACTGTTGCCAATTCTTGCTCTAATATGACAAACTAGAATGGTTGAATGCTCGTCAAACACGCAATGGTCTGGAGTTCAATCCCGATGCACTCCTTTACCTCGCTAAGCCAATAATCAGACGGGTAAAGAAGGAAGGTTGCACATAGGGCTAGCAACCCCATCCAATAAAAAAATAAATACCACTGCTACCGAAACTTCAAAGCCCAAGAAGCTTGAGGCCCTATGTCCCACTGGGAACATAAAGGAATAAGATTAAACTTTAATAAAAGAAATCTATCAGTTTTTACTCCCACACAAACATTCAAAATGACTGAGAGAAATGACACCACCAAGGACAGAACTACGCTACATAATAGTGATAATAATAACAAATATTTAGACTAGATATCACGGGATAAAGTAATATATATATATATGTAATACAGTCCTGCTCTCCTATCCACTATGACGAAAACTGTAAGAAAGAAACAGTTGGCTGACACTGTTAACAACATGCAACAATGCAGTCTATCACTTTATTTCAGAAAAAAGGATTTTATCCAAATGGTGAATAATTCATAGGAACAAGAACAACCACAGTGCTCAAATTTTATTCTTATATCAACAAGAAGAAGAATTATTGAATAGTTAAGTAGAATGAGAAAGAAAAATGTATAAAAAAGAGCATATTTGAAAAAATATATGAATCCTTGAAATGTATACTATCGTCATCCCGAAACAATATTTCATTATGAGAAACATAAAAAAATCGAAATGTTTCATGCATGAAACATTCTGTGGTTGATGTTGGTCAGAGAAACATTACGCAAACACACTTTTTATAAATATGTGGTTGTAGGAACAACCTTTTTGATGATAGCAGTCATTGCTACACACCTCACTAATACTGGTCATTAGGCTGATATCGCAAAAATAGACGAAATACTTTTGATTAGACACTGAGTAGTGTTGTGTGTCCAGTCTTTTTGTTTACTGCACAATGAATTCTATCAGTTAAGTTTGCAATGTGGCTCGCCATCACGGTGCACTGTGAATTGTTGTTTTTAGATTGTTGGAGGCAATCCGAAGCAAGCTTCTCTTGATCTAGGTTTCGTGCTTGTTAGCACTCATCAATCAGAAAGGCTTATCTGCAACCTTCTTCAAGGAACTCATGTCCCTTCAGAGATTCGAACCCTCGTTACCCATTGTCACAGTCAGAGACGTTACCACTGAGCTATCCTGGCTCGCAATTGACCTCATGCAGGACTTTATTACATACTTTTGATTGGATACTGAGTAATGTCGTGTGTCCAGTCTTTTTGTTTACTGCAGACGGAATTCTATTAGTCAATCGCGACCTGGGATAGCTTAGTAGTAACGCCTCTAACTGTAGCACTGGGTGACACAGGTTTGAATCTCAGAAGGGACATGAGTTCCTTCAAGGAGTATGTAGATACGCCATTCTGACTGGTGAGTACCAATAAGCATGAAAACTAGGTGGAGGGATTCCTGCTGATTACCTCCAACCATCTAATAGACGAAATAGCTAAGTTCTGCTTAAGTTTGCCAACCAAGGAAGCCGCTATCAAACGTCTGAAATCCGACTTATCTGTTCAGGAAGAAGCAATTATCAATCTTTCTTTGTTCTGACAACTGGGTGTCTTTATTCTCTCTCTTACATTAGATCACTTGATTGTTACTCAATTTATTAGTTACTCATTATCTTATCCACCTTTTTGTCTTTATTGTGTAACTCTTTTGACATTGTATCTAAGCGTTTATTTTTGCTTAAACTTGAACTCTCTGAGCATAAGCTGTGTAAGTGTAATTATCTGAGCACTGTTCATTAAGTTTGGAGTCTCTTGTCACTAACTCATATCATGAAACATTTGCAAGTATATTAAAATTGTTCTGTACATAAACTCAGTAATTTCTTTAGTCTGTATGCAGTTGATGAGAAGGCAACGAAATAATTGACGGTGCCATCTTATTCTGCACAAACTGTTGTTCTTGCATTATTCAAATTCATAAAGGAGGATGAATGTATGAGGCAGCCTTTGTGTGTTTAATAATTCAAGGAAACCACATGTCCAGTGGTTGATTTAGCCATTTCAACAATGAGCACAACTAGTTCTCAGTAGTAACGTCTCTGAAGGCAGCATTGGGTGACACGGGTTCGAATATCAAAGGAGACATCAGTTTCTTCAAGGCTACAGAAACGCCTTGCTGAGAAGTACCAACAAGCACGGAACCTTCAAGTGTCTAAGACAGTCTGGAGCCCATGTACACCACAGGCTTTGCATTAAGGCTTTCTAGCTCTTCTAGGTAGGCCTCGATGTCCACCAGTCTGTTTGTAAATGCCAGACATTCTCACTCACCGTTTCACATTTGTGAGGAACACATCCCACCCGTCGCATGAACGCATGGTCACATTACAGCACTTCGAGAGGAAGACCGAAGTTTACCTACCCTCGGGCGTACCAGGTTGTTTATGAGAACCACAAATGCAGAACCTGTGTTTAGTTATATCTATTGGCTTTCTATGATTATCCTTCATCACAGTAGCACTTGTATTGAATAAAAATATTCTCTACAGGCAATAAAATATATTTTCCCTTGTAAATTCAAAAAAATAAAATAAATTTTACCCTTTGAACTATGAGAAGCATCACGATCTTCTGTTCTTTCTTTGAAGATTTTAGCATTCTTCAGATGACTAACACCTTCTACCAATGAATAACTGGATGTTGACGGTTTTATTGATTTTATTTTTCGCCTTTCATAAGCATCATTCGATTTTACAGATGGTGAGTCCATGGATCGACTATTTCTAGCCATAAAATTCACATGAAGCGTGCGTGTACGCTCTTTACGTTCCAATCGTAAACGACTAGGAATTAAACCAATTGGACCAACTGGTTCATTCGTTGCTGGATCAAATTTTTGCGCCTATTTTTTTTTTTAAATTTAGAAAGAAAGTAATAATCAATACGGAGTACTATTCGCATCAATAAAAAAAGAGACCATCTTTTAGAATAGGAGAATAAAACCGGGCCTTTGACAGTCAATATATAGTGTTTCTCCACATTAAGTTAGGGAGTAATGGACAGATGTTTCGTCCTAGTGCGTGAAACTCTTCAGCAGTACGCACACACTGACGAGGGGTCGAACCCAGAACATTTCTGGTTACAAGGCGATCTCGTACACCATTCAGCCATTGGGACTCGACCCAGTGGCCAACTTATGAATTCTAACTTCTGCAATCCGAACTCCAGTGGTTGCGTGCTGCTGACGAGTCCCAACCACTAGGACGAAATAGCTGTCCAGTACTCCGTGTTGTTTTCCAGTGGTTCTCTATCTGATCAAACACCTGTAGCCAATCAAATCCCTGCAAACTAACACTTGATAAGTAAAGTTTAGTTGTCAGTAGGCTAACTGTTATAGTCTTACTACTCTTTAAAAAGCAATAATCCAAATATACCGGCATATATAAATATATATCCTCTAGCCAAAATAGAAAAGTAATAAATGTAACACGAATGACAGTTTTATAGCTGTTCCGATCGATAATCTGTAGGGTAATAAATAAATCCTATCCTCATTCTGAAAATAAAATAATATTCTCAAGATATTCAAGTGTTGGTTTGTAGGGATTTGATTGGTCCAGTACTCCCAGGTTTTCCAATGTTTCTCTAACTAATGTCAGCTCATGATGAAAATCCTGTAAGCAATATTCTCAAGAGTTGGTTTGTAAGGATTAGATTTGTGCTTACGAGTTTGGCCACGGACTGATATCAGTTACACAACCATTGAAAACCAACGGGGAGTACTGGACAGCTGTCTCGTCAGCCTAGTTTGGGAATCATCGGCGGTACACGCCCACCAACAGGGTTCGAACCCAGGACCTTCCGGTTACAAGGCCAGCTATCTTGTATAGCATTCAGCCACTGGGACCCAATTCAATGTCCACCTCGTGAATTCTAACTTCTACCGATTCGTGATTTAGCGCGATCGATGTCATCGATGGGAAGTTGGCGAGTCCGAACCCCCCCCCTCTCATCTATTCCTCAATGTCACCCTTGGCTGACCGACTCGTCGTTTCCCATTCGGGTCCCAGTCGACGGCCAGGCGCGCAATGTCATCCAACTTTCTCCTAAGAATATGCCCGATCCATCTCCATATTCTTCTTCGGAATATTTGTAGAGTAATCGGTTCTTGGTTGATTCGCTCCCACAGTCCCTTGTCTCTAATTCTATTTGGCCAGTTGGCCATCTTATCTTCAGTAAGCAGCCAGAGAAGTTTTTGGCTGTTATTTGGTGGCTGGTGACTAGCAGTAGAATCCACGATACGCATTTCGTTCTATTTGGGACTCGTTATCTGGATGTACCTCGGAAAGCAGGTATATCCGATTGATGAGCCCTGAATGGAACGAAATGTGCATCCTGACTGGATTCCACTGCTAGTCACCACCCACCAATTAACTTCTGATTACATGCCCAGACATAGTCGAAGCATCTGCAAAAGAAGCCGACATGTCAACTTGAGACCGAGGCACTTCGGTCCAATCAATCGATGGGAAAATCTAAAATTGAAGCTGTCAGCTGTTGATAAAAATCTGCAGTGGCTTGTTCGAAGTGCTTCACGTGATGCGTCGGCCATATTTCTGACCCATATAGAAAAACTGACTTGACACGAGGGTTGGAAATCAAAGTTTTGTTGTTTATGCTCAGTGGAGAAGATTTCTAAACTGATATCACATTGATGAAGGTGCATCTTGCTAATGCAATAATCCTGCATTATCCTAATCCATTCCAAGATCATTGCGTCGGTGGAAAAGCGGTAGAATGCTCGCCAACCACACCTCATGTGGTCCGGGGTTCGATCCCTGGCCACCAACGTACTCCCTTGCCTCACTTAGCCATTAATAAGACTTGTAAATAAGGGAGGGGTTGGGCATGAGGCCAGCTACTTCATCCTGTAAAAAATAAAAACACCACTGTAACCGGAACTTCAAGTCTCTAGCTTGAGGTCTTATGTTCCACTGAGAATGTAAAGGAATAAAGGAAAGGATACTAAGATCATTATATCGCACTGGTATAATCAACAGACACAAAGATAATCAAATTTCACTGCTTCTGTTATTTACTGTATATCCGAATCATTTACGCTCTGTTGCCTTCTATATAAATGTGTATGCCATGTGCGTGTGTGTGTGTTATTAGAACGTCCAAAATATGTTACGCAAAACTACGCAATACACGTTTCAGACAAATTAAGTCTTATTATTGTTTTTTGATAATTTCTATAAGGGGAAATAATTAATTTAAGTGCATTCTATTTTCCTACGTGTATACATTCAGTCGGAACATTGGAATATTGTTTATATCATCAAAATATTTCAAAACAATGAGAAGTAATCAAATTGTAACTAATCGGATGGGGGTGGGTGGGTGAAGACTAGTAAATTCAGACCAAAGGTTGCGTAATGCAAATAAATGTTCTGAAAAATCCAGAGTGTTAATGAAAAAGCATACAGGCAAGTACCAAAATATGTTATGTTACAGGTGGACAGAGTGAAAAACAGGCCAGTTAAGAAAATGATGTTAATAAATGTCGCACTACAAAAATGCCATAAAATATACATTGAAAACAAACCACTGTTAACAACTGGGCTTAGGATTATACCCAGGTTAGAATGACAGGGTGGGGAAATTTCAGGGACAGAAAAACCATCTGGGAGATCCTTCCACGATGTTTGTACTTATTTCACTGCCTCAACTAACTACGTAACCATTATTCCTTTTTCTCTCCTAGACTGTTTATCATTGTTCTGAAATCTGTATACCATCTCTTGACTTGATGCACACAAAAGAACCACTTATTCAACCACTTCTACTATCATGATAACAACTGTGTTGATTTGACTCAACATTTGCTTGTATGCTTATTTTTCTAACTACTTAAAACTTTTACGTAATTTCGTATGTTATTTTGTTCCTAAGTTCACCCTGAGTACAACTCTTTCACCAAACTATTCATGTTATTACGTAACTCTTCTTTAGCAATCGTTTGTGACAAGTCATCACTTTTGTTACTACCCTCTTATATCAACATCCAATTCATCTGAACTTACTAACTGTATTACGTAACTCCACTAAAAACTTACTAATTGCATTTTCGTTTGACGAATTTAATGTACAGCTATGAAAATGAATTCACCGAAAACAGACTTTTCGCTAAACTACTGGTCTTCTTTTTATGATGGTGTTGATAATTAAATGTTTTACTATTGTGGGTTTGTTTGAGTGAATCAAGGTGACCTTGACCTTGAACTGTCCCCGGGAAGCTCCGGTGTGTGATTCTTGCTGACAGAGGTTTCGTCCCGCTCTGTCCTGAATATTCTACTTGATTCTACAGTATAGTTGAATTTGGTCAGCTAATTTTATTCTACAGTACTTGTTTTGTACTTAGAAAAAAAGCCAGACAGTATAGATGCTCAAGGGCAATGTGGAGGTAATTTTAAGTTTCTGATGTTATTATTGTTGGATAGAACCACATAAACCCAACCATTAATACTTGTCTTTTGGCTCTCTTCAGAGCGTTTCGTCATTGCGAGTGTCTTAAGGAAGTTTCGGACAGCTATACAGTAGGACGCAGAGATCGATTTCCTGCGTTCAGACCACAATGAGTCAGTTTTGTCATAACAATTTCTTCTGTATACATAATTTAGGGTTTTTTCATCCGAACTGCTATGTCCACATTTATGGCAGATTTTCATGTTAATGACAATTTTAATAACGTTTAACGTTAGACAAGACTTATTTTCCGTATCCCAAGTATGAGAAATGAGGTCAAGAGACTTCTGTACAGTCAGTCATATACATATTTCATGTGTGAGAAAGTTCCAGAATTATTTCCGGACAGAGGTCAGATTAATAAAATTATTAAGTGTAATCAACAGAAGATAGGTAGTGGCACTATTCTAGAAATATTGCAGGTTAAATATCAAATTAAACAAAAATTGCAATGTGTAATAATCAGAAAGATCGGGAAGAAAAGACACAATAGGATTATAATTACTATAAAACTAGTCAGTTTATATAATTACGGGTTAAGGATGTAGTGTTAACGAAATGGGTAGGAGATTGGGACATTTTAAAATAAAAATAGTATCCAGTTTTATAGTAATTATAATTCTATTGTGTCTTTCCCACCCGATCTTCCTGATTATTACACATTGTAATTTTTAATTTAACCTTTCACCTGAAATATTTCTAGAATAGTGCCACTACCTATCTTCTGTTGATTACACTTAATAATTTTATTAATCTGACCTCTGTCCGGAAATAATTCTGGAACTTTCCCACACATGTAGTATAAATACACGAATATATATATATATATATATATATATATATATATATAATGAGAATAAAGTCCTCTCTGAACTACACTGGATGCACGCTGAGGATGACAGGTTTCCTTGAATAAAACCGACAAATAAAGTTAACAGTTTCCCTCGACTCAGTCACTATTTCATCCCGATAACTTGATCCAAATTATGATCGGTCGAAAACCGGTTTTGTTTCAAGTTTGACCATGGATTGATATCAGTCAGGGAAGCATTGAAAACCAGTAGGGAGTAATGGACAGCTGTTTGGTCCTGGTGTTTGATAATATTGACAGTTTGTACCTATCAGGTACGGGACAAAGTTTTCTGGAGCTGTTTCTGATGAGAAGTCGTTGCGAGTGGAGTCCGTCTGGTCAAAAGTGAGTCAAAGACTCAATGATGACACTGGCTCACGGTTGCGTAAAAATCACGAATTGGTAGAAGGTGAAATTAATGGTCTGGTCATTGAATCGGGTCCCAGTGGCTGAGTGGTCTACGAGCTCGCTGGGCCTGTAACTGGCAGGTCCTGGATGCGAACCCTGCTAGTGAGTCCCAAGCACTAGGACGTTCGATCCGTTGGCAAACTTGAAACGAAGCTCTTGATTTACTTTTCAGTTAAAATACGATGAAGTAGGTATGAAGGTGTATAATCAATAATTTTCAAATAAATATAATTTTAGAAAAAAGAAGTAACTCGCGAAATACTTACCTGCCACCATTCAGAGTCCACCGTATTTATAACATAGACTAAATCACCCGACCTGAGACTGAAAACTTTTTTCGGTATAGTTTGATGATGATTTTCTTTGACAGGATCATAGTCAACTTGACAGCGTAACAATAATACATTTGGATAGGTGACCATGTCATCTGTTTGACCTTTAGTCACCGCCTCTTCCTCTCCTAATTGCTTTTTAGAGGCTTTCGATTTCTTTTTCACTTGACGTTTTTGTTGTTGTTGTTGCTGCTGTTGCTGGTGACTTTGTTTTGTTTTATCGCTTGGTTCATCAGTGGTTTTTCGTTTTGCTTTATCTTTACTTGCATCGTTGGATTTCCTAGGGGATTCATCAGCTCTGACACCACCATCTTTCTCGATACCATCATTATCATCATCATTATTATTATTTTCAGCTCTTAGGGAATGCAAACATTTATAGGATAATTTATGACCAACTGCTTTGAGTTGACGACAGAAATGTTTCTCAAATTCAGCATATTCTATGTAAAGAGAAGTAGAAATATTGATAACATTTAACAAACATCTATATTGTCAAAAATAGTACTATGATCGCTTTAAACAAGTCATTAGACACAAATGATCAGGTTTGATCGTGAATTGAAATCATTCAGAGAACCACTGGAATACTAACAGGGAGTACTGGACAACTGTTTCATCCTAGTGCCTTAGCCTCCTCAGCAGTACACACCCACTGGGGCTCGAATCCAGGAGCTTTTATTCACAAGGCGAGCTCGTAGACCATCCAACCACTTGGACCCGATCGAATTTCCACCCTGTGATTTCCAACTTCTGCCAATTCGCGATATATATAACTTAAGCACACAATAGCCAGTAAAAGTAAATTCGAATCATATTAGAAATGTATATTGTGGAACAAGTATAAGATGGGATGGAACAATAGTCAGTTAGTTTCTGAATATGCATGGTCAATGAGAACATGAGGTAAAATGAGATGAAATAATTTGATGATATATATGCATGCTGCGGATTCATTGAATACGATGCGTTCAAATTCCATGTAGAGTTGTGTTGTTGAACATGTTGTATATATTGATTTGGTATCATCTCTCATCTATCTGTTGGTTAATTTTCTTTGTGTCCAGACCACTTTCCACTTGGATTGACAACCTGAGATGGAATGTAGGCGTACTGCTGTAAGTCCTACAATTTTTCAAGGGTAGGTCGTCATGGCAAAATCCACAACATTTGATGTATTGATTGAGTGGGTTTCAATTAATCTAATTGTTGGTTAATTTTATAGTTGTTGCACTGTGTGAATCATCTTGTAATGTTATTGTAAGTACTTCTGAAGTCGTTTCTATTCTTCTACAATTGTGAACGAATCATGTGGTGTTAGAGTCATTGTACGCGATTTGATACGCTGGGGAGGGAGAGAGAGCCATAGTGACATGTAGCAACCAACACCCTGAGGACCAGACCAGTGGTGGTATTGTCGACATATGGCGAATGAATCTCGATCACTGAGTAAGATCTTACACCCCGGGGAGGCGTACTGGTGTGATGCAGTATGGTTGTTGTGTGTTGGGGCTTTTTCTTGTCTTGTTTTCCATTTTAGCCTAGTCCCGGTTGACCCAGGCTCCGGCGTTGGCAGTTCAGTTAAAGGTTATCGCCGTGATGGCAAAAAGGGATGGACCCTTTTTGCTAGGGAGTGTAAATAAACGTGAACATTGAACGTTGGTTCATTAACCTTTGTTGCCATTGGCGGGCAACTCGAAAATGCGAATGATCCAATCGTGTACAAGTTGGAAGAAGACGAAAGAATACGAATAAAAGTACAGTACATTCCTTGTAAAACATTTGTTTATAGACTGTGTATGAAATATCGAATTTAGCTGCCGAACAATACAAGTTTTTATTGGTCCTTGTGTTTTGGAGTTACGGCCGATAATTGTTCAGAGTAATTATCGATTCGGAGCGTCTTCGCAAGTAATAGGAACTTAGGGTTAAGTCCCTTGACATATATAGTCAACAAAAGTACAGGTTTCGAGGGTGAGTGTAATCAGTGGTGTGTGAGACAATATGAATACTACAGAAAATAAACCAATGAATAGGGTGGACTGGACGTAGGTTCAAGGGTGAAATAACTATTGTAAAATAATAACAATGATGAGGTGTAAACTTAAAAGTACTGCTAGTGAATGATTATCAAATAATAATGATGAATTTAGTGAAGTGAAATGAACAGGATTTTGTGAATATAAAAATTCGGATCTTGTTCTGTATGCTGGTTGAGTGCAGAAGATTTCCAAACTGGTTTCTCGTTGATGATGGAGTATCTTGCCTTGTCTTTCCGATTCTGGCTGACCTTGACATCATTCGTTTTGCCTGTGGTTGAAACCCTGCTTAACCAGCCAGATAAGTAAAGGAAGTAACCTTTTCCAAACCTCTCCCGTTGATGGTGATTGGTGCTGGTTATTGTTGCTACTGTTGGTTGGTTATCTTATTCACCTCCGTCTTCCCTATGCCCGCAGTTTGTTGGTTTTCTCCTGAAAGTCTTTGAGTTTGTGTAACATTACACATAAATCATCCACATGGGAAATCCCGATCTTCTAGAGTCTTCTTATTGGTCAATGCAGTGCATTCCTATCTTCTCATTCCCAACGCACAGTCTGGCACATGATACGTTACGCACGCTATTTCAGGTGTTATTAATATCTGCAATTAATAGTGTTCTCTGAGCTGGTTGGTTTATTTGCAGAGCTTTCATCGTCCTTCTGGACAACATCTTCAGCACCGTATTTAGCATAAGGTGAAATGATTTAAATTTCTTCATGAGTGATATAATTTCGTCTCCCGGTAACTGTCTTTACATATGTATTGACCATTTTCTATTGACTTGGATTTTAAACTTTCTGTTCACATGATTTACTTTTTATTAGTTAGTACATTTCGTCTATATTAACGTGTTCGTTAATTGCATTTTCGTTTGAGTACCAGGCTTCTAGGAATTCCCTGACTGCACTTTTGGTGTTTCCTCTGTCTAAGATTTTGACATTATCCCAATCAAATTGATGACCATAATTGTCTATATGCATTGATACTAAAGAATACATATCGTGTCTTTTCACAGCTGATTTATGTTCTTGGATTCTGATTCGAAGGGGACGCCCACTACCACTGACAGCTAACTGTGGAAGCAATTCATGGAATTAAAGAGTATAATGGAATATACATTTATATTGGAGTAATTCCTTTAACTGTATCATGAGATTTTGAATAAGATCATATTGATACGAGTGTGGCTCTGACTCACAGTCGTCTGTAATACATCTGATGCTCTGTTAGTTGTCTCTTCAGTCATGAAAAAGTGATAAATTCTCGTTCAAGTACATCGCCGAAGAAGAATTATCCGGTGACTTTCCATCCTTCTCCTTTGTCTTCCGTCTAAATACTGGGTTGGTATTAATTGCCTCGACAGAACATTTTAACAGTGTCTAGGTAAATTCAACATTTACTGTCAGCCTATTCATCCATGGTCACTGATACTATATCCTTTCTGATCTTGTAACCTGAAGGTCCCGCGGTTTGAACCTCAGTGGGTGTATATTGCTGAAGCGCCCAAAATACGACGAAACGACTGTCCAGTACTACCAGGCTTTCCAATAGTCCTCTAACCGATGTCAGTTCATGATTAAATCTTGAAACCAATGAAATCCCCAGAAATTAACACTTGAATATCAATGAGATGCTTACTAGTCACTGACCCTATTCAGGTAGGTCGTAACCTGAGTTCTAGTGGGAAGTCGTCACAGGTGGGGTTCACCCTGTCGAGTATGAAGACAAATACCCACTGAAGACATTGGCTAGCGGTCACGCTATGTCGTGAATCGGCAGAAGTTAGAATTCATGGGCTAGTAATTGATCTGGGACCCACTGGCTCAATGGACTATGAGCTCAAAGGTAAAGTCTTCTTAAACGTTAGGCTGCCGAAAAACCTCCAACAATATATTGCATATAATTTCTCCTACTCAGTTTGTTTAAATCCAGTAAAATATGACCTCTACTAGTGTTGTTTACTCTGGCGAGTATGTAAAATATTTACAACCTGCTCATTTTTCAATTTTCAACTAAACATGAGGAAAAGGGTAATCCTCGGTAGAGGCAGCGTATCCCAAAATATGAAGGAACTGTTCTAGAGTTATGTTCTTGGGTCTGGAAATGTAATTCTGAAGTTTTTATGATGGTCATTCAACTAAACATCGTGAATTTCTCGAAGGAGACAAAGAAGAGATATCATAATGATGGATTGGTTTGCGCTTCAGGTCAGACAGAGCTGTGTCAATCTATTCACTATCAATTACTATTTTATCTGAAGATCCTGGATTAAGAGAAAATATCATGCAATAAACTATACTGTAAAAATTCTGTGCATTAAATAAACATTGTTTAGAATAAAGCTATTAATATTTAAGGAAAAACTATCATTAAAAGTAACCAGAAGGTCCTGGGTTCGGACACTGGTGGTTGGGTGACGACTACTGAAGAGTCCCATAATACACTAGTGGATGCCCCCTTCGTCTTCGTATCCACGACCATAAGCTAGCCGTCAAAAGACATGATATCCACTCCTTCATTTCACTCACTAATTACAGACAACCACGGACATTAATTCAACTGGGGTAACGTTCAAATATTAGACAGAGGAAACACCAAGAATGCTAGAGAATTTTTGAAAACCTAATATTCCAGTGAATCATCAATCAATAGACGCATCAACATAGACAAAATTTATCAACCGATAAGAAGGATACCTCAGACACAAAAAGTCAGAGTTCAAGTCAAAAAAACAATCGGTTTCAATACAAGTAACCTAGAAGGTGTGAAAACATACGAAAACAATCAATGACATCCAAAGTCACCAGGAGAGATGATTAATAAACTCGTGGAGAAATCTAAAAGCTCACTTCAAATTGAAGTATGCGCTGAAGATTTCGTCTAGTAGGGTGATGAAAGCTTCGCGAACTAACTATCCAACTCAGAGAACACAACCACATCAAAATCATCCACCTGAGCTACAAACCTTCTCAATCATATCTAACACCAGAACGAAACAGCAGTCCAGTACTCCCTGGTGGTTTCCAATGGTTCTTCAATTGATATCAATCCGTTATGAAAAATGAAGCAATTTTATACGTTTAACTTTGAAACCTGCTACTTCTACAACCTAGATATCATTATGAAGCAACATTTACTGCCATAGACTAGGACAGACTCTGAAGCTGTTCTAATAAATACCTCATAAAAATTTTTTCAATTCATAATTTACTGTCAAATATCGAAGAAAAAAAATGTAGGTTACTTATGTCATTACGTGAACCTAGCAACGAAATATATGCCGCTACATTAAGCGTTGTTGCTAGGATACTCTGTCAACTCACTCGTTAATTTAGAGGTGAAAGATTTGAGAAAGTGTTTAAATTTAATTAGAATACAAAACGTTAGTACTTAGAATCTTTTA